AATTGGTTTACGTGAAAGTTATAGCATCTACAAATGGTGCTATATATACTGGATTTTTTTTTTTTTTTAATACTAGTAATGGCGGCAATTAGGGACTGTGGTAGGTATTCTGACACTGGGGGGGAACTGAGTAACTGCCACTGACATCCCTAGTGACACTAATACAGTGATCAGTGCTAATAAAAAGCACTGACACTGTACTAATGACACTGGGCAGAAAGGCATTAACATCTGGGGCAATCAAAGAGTTCACGAATTGTGCTGTCAGTGTTTTCCTGTGTAAGCACGTTGCTTTGCATTGCTCTGCTATGCAGAGCAATACAAAGCAGCATGCTGGTGCTGACAGGGGAGAGATCTGTATTGTTTACATACAGACCTCTCCCCTGTCAGTGTTCCTTGGCAAGCGCTGGGTGCCGGCGGGGAATCTCCGTCTGGGACCCGGTGATCAACAGCTGTAGCCGCCAATGGTGTCCCCCAACCCAGAAATTCAAAATCACGTATATATACACACACGTGATTTTGCGCAGCCCTGCAGCAGTAGTTCTGTAGTTAAAAAGGATCCTCCTTTATCTGCTACATAAAAAGGGCTGGTCCTGTAACTGTACACACACTGAAAACAAATTGTGCAGGAAGCAAATAGTTTTGGATAATTGAGTGCTTGGCAACTGCTGTAGCAACAGACATAACATTTGCTGGGATGGAGAAATTAAAATGGTTGTATTTTAGGCAGACTTTTTTTGTTTTTTTAACTTAATGCATTCTCTGCATTAAGGTAACAAACCTTTCATGTTTTGCTAACCTCCCCTCCCCCCAAATACGTACCTGAGCCAGATCTCAATCCAGAACTGTGCCTGAGAGCAACAGAGTTATTGACTCTCTCCCTTCTCACTGGCTCAGAGACAACAGCGGAGGCCATTGGTTGCACTCTGAGAAGAGGAGAAGCCAGAAGCTTGGGTGAGAGACTCCTGAAAAGAAGGATCGAGGCTGCTCTGTGCAAAAACTATTGCGCAGAACAGGTAAGTATAAACCTGTTTGTTATTTAAACGAAAAAATCTTTTAAATTCACAACAAAGGCACTATAATCACAATTACTTTCCCCTTCATTTCTTATGGAGAACAGTCTTACCAGCCTTCTAATGCAAACAAATATCAGGCTTCTCAAACCTGTTAGAAACTGACTGAAACTGTGCTTTAGAGCCGGTTCACATACAGTGTATGCGGATTAGATGTGGTTTGAACGGCATCCAATCCACATGACATGAGATATAACATTGCTTCCTAGGGTGCATGTTCACATACATCCGGTGAACTGGCGGTGTGGATTCAGTGCAGATTAAAAGAGTCCTGTCCAATTTCTGAGCAGTGCAGTCTGGTTCAGATGCAGATTACAGGCTCATTGACTTCTATGGTAACCGCTTCTGAATTGCACGTCATGAGTTTCTGAACACGATTTCAGGCCAGTTTTCTCTCCTGATTCTCATGTAAACCTGACCTGATCCTGATGTAAATCTGACCTGATCCTGATGTAAACCTGATCTGAATCATTGAACAACTACTGTATCAATTACAAGTGAAAACTGAGCTTCAAATTACACTGCACATGTGTGACAGTCTTTGTTTTGATCTCTGAGGATTTTTGATGATGAATTACTTCATAGTACATGCAGCTAGAGCTAGCACTAAGTCAGTGAGGGCATTTTAAAGTTTTTTGTGCTGCTTGCTAAGAATATATAAAATCTGTATTGTCCATAGTCTGGGCACAGGTGCATTTTAAAGATCTGAACCATTTCTTTATATAAAAGTGAATGATTCTTTCGTGTATTTTTGGCTTAGGCTTTAATTTGAACATGCAAGCTTTACATTTACACTCAACATTATAGATAGTTCAAAAGCTGAATCCCAAAAAAAAACCTGTCCAACATTGTCAAACTTTTATATATTACAAATACGTGAGATAAGGTCTACCACTATGTCTTGCATTATTACAGTAACATTGGACAGATTTTCCTGCCACCATCGGTGAGGAATATGCTTTTCCATGGAGGCCACAGGCAGCAATATATGAGAAAGCAGATGTGTGACACATCTTCACAAATTACATTTACCAGGGTGATTTTATAGACTGCTAATAGCATTTAATAATTCAGTTCCAAACCAAATTACACTTCTGCTAGAGGTAGGATTAAATGGATTAGATGATTATCACTAGAAACGTGATTGAAAAGAATACAGAGCACAGTTTAGTTTATATTTACATACCTACAGAGTGTATTAAGTTCCCAGCCAGATTAAGCTCCTTTAAATTCTGTAGAGTTTCCAGTCCCTAGAAAACAACATCAGCTTTTATTCTGCTAATTAAATACTGGCAAATAACATGAGGCAGTGCAAGTAATCTTTTTATTATAAGCAGACATCAATGTGCAGAGCATTGTTCATGACTCCAGTGAGGAATAAATGCACAGAGGTGACAACCACTCCTATTATGTAACTCCTAAGATACGTTGTACAATACAGCATCATTATCAGCTGTCTTTTAATGCCATTATGGGATATTATTTAGAAAACCAGGAAAAATGCCCTTTTGTCAACCCTCCAAGCTAAGATTGTTTAAGAAACCATTGAAAAATATATATATTTTTTTAAATGCTTAAAGTGAATCTGTGCTTTGCCAATACAGGGCAAAGAAAATTCACTATAACAGAATATTCATCTTGGAAGTGAAGACAAACACCAAAAAATTCTCACTCCCCTCCCACCAGATGCTTGGTGATTGGCTGCTTGGCTGTCATATGGAAGCATGGAAAATGTTCTTAGGTGGCTATACAATAGTAGAATTTTGCTTGAAATTCTTTGTTTTAAGAGCATTTGTTTGTTTTCTAAACATCAGAGGGGGAAAATTGATGTTCGATTTCAAGCTCATGATGAGAAAATTTGAAGAAGCAGGATGGAATTTCTCAAATTCATTAATTTTTAACAGTGTATGTGTTTTTCATGCAGTAAACTCCATTTGTTTCAAAACTAAATGTTAAAAGCAAACAAAATTTTAACGACATTCATCAATTTGTCGAATGCACTGTGATTTTTCATCCAAATTTTTACACAAATGTTTGTACGAACGTTCATTTAAAGATTTACTACTGTATGGCCAGCTTTAGCTTCCTCTAGTCACCGCAAGAAGCTTAAAGTGGCTGTAAAGGCTCAAGGTTTTTTACTGTCATGCATTCTATACGTGAAGGTAAAAAAAAACCTTTTGTGCAGCACCCCCTCCAGGCCCCCCTAATACTCACTTATGCCCCCTCTCGATCCAGCGATGTGCAATGGAGTCTCGGCAATCCCAGGACTCCCTCTCCTCATTGGCTGAGACAGCCATAACAATGTTTGTTATTTTTTTTAAACTTAAGCCTTTAGTATCACTTTAACAGAACACCAGTGAAACAAAGGGAAGGTAAGCATGTGCAGCTGGTGTGACCAGTTTTTCTCTGCATGAAAGGAATGGATACTACATTAAATGTTTCCCCTACTCTAAGTACTTGAGGTCATACTCTAGATAATGATAAAAGACTTTATAATCCAAGACCTTTTCAGGCCATAAAGAAACACTTCGGGTGTGCTGGACCTTTATACAGGTAGGCATTTCAATTTGTATTGATCACAGGCAACTCTCTATAATCTGAAGGGGCTAAATAGGTCCTCAAAATCAAGTGTAGTGGAGGGAACGGAGCATCAAAATGTGACTGATGGTCCAAATAGATTTCATTAATCACAACAGTATAAATGAACAGCAAATGAGTTTTGGGGGCTTCACTGATTCCCTTTCATTGAGGCCGACCACTGCTGGCAGCATATAAAAGTGATTTTTATATCTGTTCATACTGTTGTGATGAATAAAATCTAACTGAACCATCAATCACATATTTACTGATCTCTTCTCTCCACTACACGTACTGCTATTTAGAGAAAAGGAATACTTCATTAAATCCTTCAAAAAAGCCAGCCGCAGACTATCTTTGGCTCAAGAGGGCAGGTTGCAAAGACATAAAAATACTACAAAAGAAAAAAATGTCCTTGTGAAATTCCTGTAACGCAGCACCAAGCACTATAGTTACCCCTTTTAAAAAAGAAGCTTTTTTTCCCTATTTAATCCTTAAAGAGGGCTTTTTTCCCCCCTATTTACACTTACCTAGGTGGATGCAGCATCAGTCCTATGCTGCATCTGTCCCCTGCCAGCTCTAAGGGGGAGAATTCAGCGATCACATGAACGCTGATTGCGGAGTTCTCCTCTCTGCTTTGAGCAGACAGTGGGACTGTCTGTCACAGATGGATGTTCAACCCCCCCCCCCCCCCCCCCCCCCCGCTCACTGGAATGCTAGGCTCTAGAGGGGGAGGGAGCAGCTGGCTCTCAGCGCTTCGCTGAAAGGCTGAGCCAGGTGCCGCTCCAGACCCTGGGGTGGATTCTGACTTTGATGTTGAGATCTTTCCCCAGCATAGACCGGCTAAGTGATGTCAGCCGACAGCGGACTTCAGTCCGCTGTCAGCTGAAAACGGGTCACAGGAATGCAGAACAAACTGCACTTCTAGATCTACAGGAGAAGTACAGCCAAAAAAGCTTTGGCGGTACGTCTTCTTTAAGGGTCTTAGTATAAAACAATGCCAAAAGAAAAAAAAAAATCAAAGACTTAACCGATGCTACACATCCAGGGGCGGACTGACAACTCATGGGGCCCCCGGGCAATAGGGGATCATGGGGCCCCTGTGTCCTTGCCCAAACTCAAAAAGCCTATGAAAAAGGTACCAGGGGCATCTCATGGGGCAATGGAGTCTCGGCAATCCCAGGACTCCCGAGTGCCCGAGTTTCCAAATTGTCAGTCCGCCCCTGTACACATCGTAAACAGAGAAACCCAGGTGCCAAATTTTATCTTTGTACTTACCTCTATTGCTTCAATCTGATTATCATTTAGCCAGAGTACTTCTAACTGGGTCAGTTTTTCCAAAGACTCAATGACCGTAATACTGTTATAATAAAGGAAGAGCCTTTTCAAATTAAGGCACGTTTCTAGACCTTCAATTTTCTATAAGAAACAAATGTGTCAATTTAATTTTATTAATAATGAACCTTGTCTAAATATTTATAAGGTAATAAAAGTTCTGACAATTAGGCACCAGTAAGTAGCTGTGTTAGTTTTCAATTAAATTCCTGTGTCTATGTGGAGCCCCCTTTGATCCTGGCTATTCATGGTACAATTTAAGATTAAATTGTTACTAAATCCACAACAGTAATATCAATCTGTATATTCAGTAAAGCATGCTTGTTATACTCACTGTGAAACCTAAGGGGTTAATCCTCCACATTGTGAAAAAAAGACTGTTTGATCCTGTCTTCTCTGATCCTCCCCTTCTTCCACAGTCCCCAATCCATCTGTTAATAGTACAGAGCCCTAGGAGGCACTCTGCACAAGCTAAGTTTAGTGTGAATTGTAAAAGAGGTTTTTTTTTGGGGGGGGGGGGCATGTGATCGGCACAGGGCCAATCGGCACTGTTCATATCGAGGGTACAGGGTTATGCAGCCTCATAGGACAGTCAGAGGAGAATGAAAACTCCTTATAAGCTTTAACTATTGCTCGGCCGGACACTGATAGAAGTCACAAGATTGCTATATCCTGCTGATGAGAAAATGTATTTAGCTATTTTATATACTAAAATATTTGCATTTCCTTGTTCTCTGTACTGTGGGAGAAGAAATATAGTGAATGCAGGGTCATGGGTTTACTAACTCTTTAAGCCTTGGCCCCTCATGTCATAGGCACAACTACCCAGATTTGCCTTCATATACACATCTGTAATAAACTCTGCACTATTTGACATAATGATATTTATTTAGTTAAGGAGTAACAAGTGTTCACTTTACAAAGTGAATTTTTCCTTTTGTTAATGAGGTGAATCTGTGCCAACTTCAATTTATCTTTTAGTGGAGAGTATAACATTTGAGGTCCTTCCTCTCAATTTACAGTCTTGATCATTACATTTTAGAATTTTGGATTTTTTTTTTTTAAGCTAAACGTGTAAAAGATATCAGCTTGAGGTGAATAATCTGTGCAAGTGTTCAAAAAAACATATTAAACCATATTAAACCTGTTTGTCTTTCTTGGACCAAATTCCCTGATACCGTTACCGGTCTAGGCGTTTCTGTCTGAAGCTAGGTTGACATCTGTGCAGGTGATTGCCTCTGTGGGACCGCATCTGTTCCTGCAGCTGCAACCACCTGTACAGAAAATGCAGGAGATGTGTGCAGGTTCCTTAGTCCTAATGGCCAGCCACATGCACTAGAAATCACTCCCACACCAGGAACCACACTGTACTTGCGGTTCCTGTGCAGGCTGTGATTCCAAAAATGGTGCAGGGACCTTTTCCCTGCATTTCAGGAGGCACAGCAGCCCAATGAATGGGCTGCCGTGTCTGCGCAAATCGTGGCTCACAGAGCTGCATCAGTGTCAACAGATCTGTAAGATCTAAAGTTCCCATTACTACTAGATCAGCTACTATCCTAGCTATTAGAGGTAGAAGTCACATTCAAAGCCGCATGCAATGTATAAACATCAAATCTGTATTTAGTTGTTTTTCCTGGGCTTTAACCTAAACAATTTTAGACAGTATTTCAAGAGCATTTAAAAGCCCTAACATACTGCTGGTGAGGGTCCTATGGTGGGAGGTAGGAGCTTGCAGCCCTGTGTTGTTCGAGCAACTAGCATCAGGTTTTGTAGGGTTAGGTACAGAAATATAGTTACATAGTTAGTCTGGCTGTTAAAAGACAAAAGTCCATCCAGTTCAACCATTTAGAAAAAAAAAAAGTTATAATCCTGTACCCACAGTTGATCCAGAGGAAGGCAAAAAAACAGCAAAGCATGATCCAATTTGCTGATCCCCTGAGAGGCACATATTTCCTGGATCAACTTTACCTATAAATGTTGTAGTATCCAGTTATATTCTGTGTATCTAAGAAAGAATCCAGGCATTTTTTTTGAAGCAATCCACTGAGCTGGCCAGAACCGACTCTTGAGGGAGTCTATTCCACATTTTCACAGCTCTCACTGTGAAGAAACCTTTCCATGTTTGGAGATTAAATGTCTTTTCCTCCAGACGTAAAGAGTGCCCCCTTGTCCTCTGTGATGACCTCAAGGTGAATAACTCTACACCGAGTTCACTATATGAACCACTGATGTATTTATATGGTTTCTGAGGGTAACGTATGTACTCTCCACCTCAGGAAATGCACAGCCAAAGGAAAGGCAAGGGAACCAGGACAGCAACAACCAAAGGAGATGCTTCAGGGGTGCAGCCCTCCTCAGATGGGGAGATCAGCCACTAGATAAAGAAAACACAGGTGGCGCACACACCTAGTGCATTATCCAAGGTTTATTCAAAGATATAAAAGGATAAAAAACATACTCACAGACGAAGCATGTATCTAAAAAGCATTTGCATTACGAAGATGGCCACAACGGCAAGCAAGGTGTTCCAACTGTCAATGCAGTCAAATGTCTGCCGCGTTTTGGGGATGAGTCCCTTTCCTCAGAGCTGCTGACCAGCCTGTATGAAGGTCAAGCGGTAAATAACCATGGCTAAAATGGCTTGGGAGCAGACCTCCACCTCCTCTCCTTGTTAAAGGGCGAGGAGTTAGAGGGGGTTATTTAAAGTGCAATGTTTGGTAATTCATATAAACATATATACATACATACACTAAAAGGAAAAGCAAATAAAGAAATAAATGAATGCATCATTTGCAAATATAAATAAATTAAAAGTAATTAAAACAATAGTAGTTATACTGACCACATTAATAAAAATAGAGGTAAAAATAATATTAGTAGAGGTAAAAATAATACAAGTGAAGATCATAAGACGTGGTGATTTGCAGTTAAAAAATATATCATATGTATCGTATGTGGCTGCAGGTTATATATATTGATAGCATACAATTAAAAATATTAAATAAAAAAAATTATAGTAAAAATAGTAAAACACTGTAAAAAATTATTATTATAACAATTATCATTCTCATAATGTTTATGGGAAGAAAAAAATAAATAAAGAATTAATTAATTGAAGAGGGAGATAAAGTCTGATGGTCTGTCCCAGGGATGCCGGAAGTGAAGTCTTCCCCATGTCCCTTCCTCTTGGCCCAGGAGCGCACAACCACGTTGGCGTGCGTTCCAGCGGCCATTTCTCCCCCAGTACATAAGCACACACATCCCACTCAGGCATCAGCAGCAAGGCTCCTACCGTCACTCCACCATATCCACTACACATCTGGACCAGTCCTAGAGGTACCTACACTACACTCATTTATTTAATCCATTTTGCCAGTTCACTGCCACCTTAGGGTCATGTATTTACCCACATACAAACTTTCCATGTTTTTTATTTATTAATGCAATTAATTCAATTAATTTAATTATGTCTTTATTTAATTTTTTTTCTTCCCATAAACATTATGAGAATGATAATTGTTATAATAATTTTTTACAGCCTTTTACTATTTTTACTATAATTTTTTTTTTTATATTTTTAATTTTATGCTATCAATATATATAGTCTGCAGCCACATACGATATATTTTTTAACTGCAAATCACCACGTCTTATGATCTTCACTTGTATTATATTATTTTTACCTCTACCAATATTATTTTTACCTCTATTTTTATTAATGTTGTCAGTATTACTACTATTATTTTTAATTACTTATATTTTATTTATATTTGCAAATGATGCATTTATTTCTTTATTTGCTTTTCCTTTTAGTGTATGTATGTATGTATGTATGTATGTGTATGTGTGTGTGTGTGTATATATATATATATATATATATATATATATATATATTATATATATACACAGTCAGGTCCATAAATATTGGGACATGGACACAATTCTAACATTTTTGGCTCTATACACCACCACAATGGATTTGAAATCAAACGAACAAGATGTGCTTTAACTGCAGACTGTCAGCTTTAATTTGAGGGTATTTACATCAAAATCAGGTGAATGGTGTAGGAATTACAACAGTTTGCATATGTGCCTCCCACTTGTTAAGGGACCAAAAGTAATGGGACAGAATGATAATCATAAATCAAACTTTCACTTTTTAATACTTGGTTGCAAATCCTTTGCAGTCAATTACAGCCTGAAGACTGGAACGCATAGACATCACCAGACACTGGGTTTCATCCCTGGTGATGCTCTGCCAGGCCTCTACTGCAACTGTCTTCAGTTCCTGCTTGTTCTTGGGGCATTTTCCCTTCAGTTTTGTCTTCAGCAAGTGAAATGCATGCTCAATTGGATTCAGGTCAGGTGATTGACTTGGCCATTGCATAACATTCTACTTCTTTCCCTTTAAAAAACTCTTTGGTTGCTTTTGCAGTCTGCTTTGGGCCATTGTCCATCTGCACTGTGAAGCATCCAATGAGTTGTGAAGCATTTGGCTGAATATGAGCAGATAATATTGCCCGAAACACTTCAGAATTCATCCTGCTGCTTTTGTCAGCAGTCACATCATCAATAAATACAAGAGAAGCAGTTCCATTGGCAGCCATACATGCCCACGCCATGACACTACCACCACCATGCTTCACTGATGAGGTGGTATGCTTAGGATCATGAGCAGTTCCTTTCCTTCTCCATACTCTTCTCTTCCCATCACTCTGGTACAAGTTGATCTCGGTCTCATCTGTCCATAGGATGTTGTTCCAGAACTGTGAAGGCTTTTTTAGATGTCGTTTGGCAAACTCTAATCTGGCCTTCCTGTTTTTGAGGCTCACCAATGGTTTCCATCTTGTGGTGAACCCTCTGTATTCACTCTGGTGAAGTCTTCTCTTGATTGGTGACTTTGACACACATACACCTACCTCCTGGAGGGTGTTCTTGATCTGGCCAACTGTTGTGAATGGCGTTTTCTTCACCAGGGAAAGAATTCTTCGGTCATCCACCACAGTTGTTTTCCGTGGTCTTCCGGGTCTTTTGGTGTTGCTGAGCTCACCGGTGCATTCCTTCTTTTTAAGAATGTTCCAAACAGTTGTTTTGGCCACGCCTAATGTTTTTGCTATCTCTCTGATGGGTTTGTTTTGTTTTTTCAGCCTAATGATGGCTTGCTTCACTGATAGTGACAGCTCTTTGGATCTCATCTTGAGAGTTGACAGCAACAGATTCCAAATGCAAATAGCACACTTGAAATGAACTCTGGACCTTTTATCTGCTCATTGTAATTGGGATAATGAAGGAATAACACACACCTGGCCATGGAACAGCTGAGAAGCCAATTGTCCCATTACTTTTGGTTCCTTAACAAGTGGGAGGCACATATGCAAACTGTTGTAATTCCTACACCGTTCACCTGATTTGGATGTAAATACCCTCAAATTAAAGCTGACAGTCTGCAGTTAAAGCACATCTTGTTTGTTTCATTTCAAATCCATTATGGTGGTGTATAGAGCCAAAAATGTTAGAATTGTGTCGATGTCCCAATATTTATGGACCTGACTGTATATATATATATATATATATATATATATATATATATATAATTTATATGAATTACCAAATATTGCACTTTAAATAGCCCCCAACTCCTCGCCCTTTAACTAGGAGAGGAGGTGGAGGTCTGCTCCCAAGGCATTTAGCTATGGTTATTTACCGCTTGACCTTCATACAGGTTGGTCAGCAGCTCTGAGGAAAGGGACTCGTCCCTGAAACGTGTCAGCCATTTGACCGGATTGAAAGTTGGAACACCTTGCTTGCCGTTGTGGCCATTTTCATAATGCAAATGCTTTTTAGATACATACTTCGTCTGTGAGTATGTTTTTTATCTTTTATCCCTTTGAATAAACCTTGGATAATGCACTGGGTGTGTGCGCCACTGGTTTCTGAGGGTGTCAGATATTTCATAGCTGGTAATTTTCAGGTTAGCTAACCTTTCATTACAAAGGAGATATGCATATGTTTATTGATTCCAACAGCAGTTTAATGAGCTCTGTTCTTCTTTCACTTACTGTTAAATGACACTCTGTAATCCAAAGTTTCTGAAGCAGTGGACATGATTCTAGACCAGCGATGTTTTTCTATATTTTGTCCAACTAATGTCAGGTTTGTAAGATTCGGAAAATAAGACAGTCCAACCATTTCGGGGTAACCAGAGAAGAACATTTCAAGTGTTTTAGTTGCTGGTCCTTCTTGTGCAATCTTCTCATAGTTGAAACCATTGCACGCACACTGTAAGTGAAGACACAAACCATGCTCATAACATAACAATATGAATACAAAAGGTTTATGGTTCCAGTGCCATTCTTTGACACAGCCTTTCTCAACCCTTTTACCCCAGAGGAAACCTTGACATGATTGAAATAATCGGGTCTCTGGGAACTCTTGTAAGATTATTCTATAAGGGGTCACTGGGAAAATGCATCTAACATTGATGGTGGTAAGTGGGAAGAATGCCCCCCTTACAGTGGTGGCCAGAATGAGTCCCTTGCAGTCATGTTGCTGGCACTGCCAATGATGTTGGACCTGGATCCATGCAGGCACCATCAAATGGGAAGCCAGTTAGTCACAGCTAAAAGGAACCCTAAGCCACTCTGGGAGGAATCCAAGGGTTCTACAGAAACCTGTTGTGAATAGCTGATCTAACCATACATCAGCAGCATCCCTTAAGAGTGTCTATATACTCTATATCAGTGATGGCGAACCTATGGCACGCGTGCCAGAGCTGGCACGCAGAGCCATCTCAGTGGGCACGCCAGGAGGAAGAGAGGAAGAGGAAGAGAACGCGCTCTCCTGTGCACCTCCGGGGGCGCGCACCGGGCGATCTCCGTGATCGCTGTGTCCTGCGGACACAGCTGATCACGTGACATGGTAAAAGGCCAATCACAGCGGCCTTTTACCACGTGATCAGCCGTGTCCAATGACACGCTGATCACCGGGAAATGCAAATGCCGGTTCTCGGCTGCACTTTCCTCACGCTGTCAGATCGTGAGGAAAGTACTGCTGAAAACCGGCAGTTGTCAGAACAGGGATCGGCACCGATCATCAGGGTCACTGATCATCAGTGCCCTGATGATCGGTGCCCACCTGTGCCACACACAAGTTCCGCCCACTTGTGCCCAGCAATGCGCCCACCTGTGCCCAGCAGTGCGCCCACCTGTGCCCAGCAGTGCGCCCACCTGTGCCCAGCAATGCACCCACCAGTGCCCACCAGTGCCACCCACCAGTGCCCATCAGTGCAGCCCAGCAGTGCTGCCAGTCAGTGCCACCAGTCAGTGCCCAGCGGTTGTGCCAGTCAGTGCCCAGCAGTGATGTCAGTCAGTGCCACCTATCAGTGCTGTCTATCAGTACCCATTATCAGTGTCGCCTATCAGTGCCTCCTATCTGTGACACCTCATTAGTGCTGCCCATCAGTGCCACCCATCAATGATGCCCAGCAGTGCCGCCGGTCAGTGCCTCCAGTTGGTGCTGTCAGTGCCGCTTATCAGTGCCCATCATTTCCTGCATATCAGTGCATCATCAGAGCCTCCTCATCAATGCTCACCAGTGCCGCCTCATCAGTGCTACCTATCTGTGCCACCTCATCAATGCCCATCAGTGCTGCCTATCAGTGCAGCCTCACCAACGCACATCAAAGAAGAAATATTACCTGTTTGCAAAATTTTAGAATAGAAGCAAAGGAAACCTTTTATGTTTTTAATTTTTTGCTCTTTTTTCATTTATAGTGCAAAAAATAAAACACCCAGTGGTGATTAAATACCACCAAAAAAAGCTCTATTTGTGTGAAAAAATGATAAAAATTGCATATGGTTACAGTGTTGCATGACCGCACAATTGTCTTTAAGTGCAACAGCACTGAAAGCTGAAAATTGTCCTGGGCAGGAAGGGGGTAGAAGTGCCCGGTAGGCAAGTGATTAATTCCAGTGTTGGCACTTTGAAATAAAAAAGTTGGTTTTGTGTTGCAGTTTGGGCACTCGGGCTCAAAAAGGTTCGCCATCACTGCTCTATATGATCCAGGTGTTCAACTACTAGAACCAGTCCTGTTAGGCCTATAGTGCCTGCAGCTTCCGCTCTCCTCTATATGCAGACAAGCTGAAATAGAATTGTCAAATAGTTTTATTTCAGCTATTCTGTTTTCTAATGCTTGTTTAGCACTTATATTCTAGCACTTATTCCAATAGCTAATTCGCACTAGTCCAGCAGCCTGCTAATTAGTCTTAGTTCATCAGCTTTGCTTCTTAGTTTTTTCCCCAGTGGCTAATAAGTTTTAATGCAACAGCTTTCATAGCACTTTGCATGATTTAATAGCCAATTAGTCTTTTTAAAACAATTTGGCTTCCTAGTTTCCTTTTTCATCTTTTCCATTAGTTTACTAGTCTTATTGCAGGGGTTTGGTTCTTAGCATTTTTTATTTATTTCAACAGAAGTTATTTAGTCATATTTTAGAAGTTTGGCCTCTTAGGCAGCTCACAGACAATTTATTTGTTTTCGTCCCACCTGCGGGCTGAAGAAAAAAAAGTGACTCAATTCCTGCATCCACACATTTGAGGTGGATGGGGGAATCCTCCCCACTAAGCCTTTCTATTCTGACAGCAGGGACTCTTCCCTGCTAGTAGAATACATTGAGCAGCGCTGTTGGGCAGTTGTACAGAAGTTTATCGGTATAACACTTTCTATATAACCACCCTGCTGATACGTGGATCAAAATTTGTCCGGTCCCTGCTGAACTGGCCATATTTCAATCCACGCTTGGCCACCTTTAGTAGTTTTATTAGTGCTCATTTTAGTAGTTATATGGTTGTATTGGTTTTATATCAGCAGCATTGTCTCTAATTTTTCTTAAATGATTCTAAGAGTCAATTAGTTTTATTTCAGCGGTCTCCTAACGTGTTTTAATACTTTTTTAGTATTTGTTCTAGTAGCCAATTATTTCTATTTAAGCAGCTTGATTCTTCATTACTTTTCTGCACATTTTCTTTGTGATGCAATCTAGTATTTCTATGGTTTGAGTTACAGCTGAGTACCCATCAAGGGAAGCTTTGCTGCATGAGAGCTAACTTGCCAGAGTTTTTGAGCTTGTTTTATGTTTTGACTACACTTGCAATTGTAAACGTTCCCAGCATCTCTTTGAGTATATTGTTCTGGACTTTATATTGCTGGGCTGCCTATCAGTCACCTGAATTATTTGTCTGCTTTTCTAACAAAAGAGACACCAGTACAGAGGTAGACTTGTTCAATGTCCATTCTGCATTCTACATTTGCCTATTAGCCCATGAACAATGGGTAACTAACTAGAAAATAACAGACATCACAGACATTAAAAATGCCCAGATGGCATCAACCAAAGCATATAGATGAGAAGCGTAATCATCTTTCACTTTGCCTCTAGGAAATCAGCAGCATATTCAAAATATGTTAATTTATGGAAATGTATAGATTTTTCCCCCTTTAAAATTTGTAACCGTTTTATATGCTTAAACACTAAGCTCACCTTTTAGAGAAACTGGCCCATACAGTAGTTTTAAAAAGCACTCAGAATTCTTTTTCATTTTAAATATGCAGATGCTATACCCGTAGGTTGTTTCTGCCCCTTATGAAGTGTGGCTGAAAGACTTTATTGTTTACATCCTTACTTTCTGGATTAATTGCAGGACACAGCAGCCCTTGGCGCTCACCCAAAGCATTGATGGAGAGAATGTGCTTGCTTTTTCAAAAACTGCGCATGTACAATTCATGCTCTCTCCACTATCACAGCTACACGGAGCTAAGCCACTGGAGAGAGAGAGACAGGAAGTAAGGCTATATAAAATAAAGTATTTTAGTCAGACTGCATGGGGGACAAAAATGGCCTACAGGTATGGCATCTGCCATATCTCCTTTTCTGGGGCCCCCCCGCCGGCACTCTCTACTCCTCTTTTCCATTCTCCATTTACTATTTTTCCCATGTGTCCCCATAGCAAGCCGTTTGCTATGGGGGCACATATGCAGGCATGCTCCCGAGCCAGGCCGTGTGTACAAACAAACAGCATGGCTTGGTCATGTACCCACTCCCTCCTCACAGGGTTTGATTGACAGCAGCAAAAGCCAATGGCTCCCAGTGCTGCCTCTGTACTTGTGAGAGCATGGAGAGAGACCAATGACCAGGGAGAGAGACAGGCTGGATCAATACAGTGAGGGGGTTAGGGGGGAAAACAACAAGTGGAAGGGTTTTTTTACTTTAATGCAGGTAATGCATTAAAGTGGTCATAAAAGCTGAAGGTATTTTACCTTCATGCATTCAACGCATGAAAGTAAAAATCCTTCTGTGTGCTGCTCTCACAACAACCACCCCCCATACTCACCTGAGCCCCCTGTCGATCCAACGATGTGCATGGGAACCTCGGCTGTCCTGGGTCTCTCTCCTCATTGGCTGATACACAGCAGTGGAAGCCAATGCTGTAAATCACAGCCAGTGAGGAAAGAGTTAGGGGTGGAGCCAAGCCACAGCTCTATGTGTCTTATGGATGCTCGGGAGCGAGCACGCAACAATGCCCCCAAAGCAAGCAGCTTGGTGTTGGAGGACCTGGTCAAGAGGGAGGAGCCAGGAACACCAGAGGGGAACTTGAGAAGAGGAGGAGCAGGGCTTCTCTGTGCAAAACCACTGCACAGAGTAGGTATAACATGTTTGTTATTTTAAAAAAAACAATCTAACTTTTAGTATCACTTTAAGGTAAAAAAACCCTTTGGATTTAGGATAATTTTCATGTTTCAGCAGGACCTTCGATTGTGTACTTTGAGATACCTGCAGGAGACTTCAGTTTTCTTCCAGAGTGCCCCAGATCTATAAAACCCATGGCATGCTAATATGTCAATAATGACTTCACACAGAAAATGGGTGTCTGGTCTGCTCCCTCCTGTGCATTGATAGGGACATCCGTAACTGTATCCACAGCGTGTTTACAAGAAGAATAGTTCCTGGAATGTTAATATGTAAGCAAAGTCAGATCTTTAACTGTGGGATAGGGATTGGCTATAAGGACTGGATATGTCAGGGAACCGGGCATAGCAGCAGCTCTGGATGTTTGCCACACCCATCCCATAGATAATCCAACTGCAGCGGAAGTATGTTGTCTGTCTCTTTCCACCTGTTCCCTGTTGGATGTGGCAAGGGTGCCAAGAGATAGTACCTTACCTGCCACTTAGCAACATACTTATAAATCGTGCAATCTGGAAATTAAAACAAAGCATTGCAAAGTTTTGAAATGAGTGTTGATATGGTTCACCCCAGTGCTGGGAATGTCAAAGTGAAAGAATATGCAGGTAAATGATGGGAGTAATTATGATTTTAGCCAAACATTTTGTTATATAATTTGTGGTGCTCTTGGCTGGATGAACGCAATTCATGTTGTCCCTACTATTATCTAGCGAAACCACAACAAGGTTCTGATCTGCATAAGTCTCTAAATCTTAAGCCTACAAACCTGCAATCTTCATGGCTATGACTGAACTCCTATCTGCTCCGCAGTCTGCCAGGGAATATCAATACAACAAGACCAAGTGTAAGGTCTCACACCATCAATTTACAGCACAGACCCTTCTACTGCAAGCCTGTAAATTTACCAGTTAGTTAAACTTAATGCACTTAAAGTGTTACTAAACCCACAACAGTAAACTCAGTCTGTATATGCAGTAAAGCATGCTTGTTATACTCACTAAGGAACCTAAGGGGTTAATCCTCTCCATTGTGTAAAAAAATGCTGTTTGATCCTGACTTCTCTAATCCTCCTCTTCTTCCAATGCCCCCTCTCATCTCCTGATAAGACATATCATGTGGAGACACTCTGCACATGCTCAGCTTGGTGTGTATTGCTAGAGAGGTTTTTTTTCTTGGGAGAGTGCATGTGACCAGCACAGGGCCAATCAGCACTGTCCAGATAGCAGTCAGGAGTTTTGCATCCTCCTAGAGCAAAACTCCTCCTACAAGCTTTAACATGTGCACTGCTGGAAACTGATAGAAGTCACAAGACTGCTATATACTGCTGATGAGAAAAGATATTTAGCAGTTTATATTTACTAAAATAATTCCACTTCCATGTTCTGTGTACTGTGGGAGACCAGTTATAGTGAATGCAGGGTCGTGGGTTTAGTAACACTTTAATGCAACAAAAGATTGTAGTAGATACAAATACCAAATAATTAGTATGCATTATTTTATGGCTTTGGAAGGAATACATAGGCAAACCAAAGTGTACTTTTATATACCGTAATTCCTTGGAGTTCCTCAATCCTTCCTATAAACATTCAGTTACTACATTGAAGGCTAGATAATTTCTTCTGGCTCTTCCAGCTTGGTGGATGCTGCAAAATCCCCTTTTTAGGGCAGCAAAAAATGTAAAAGTATAATGCAGATTCTTACCAGTTCTTTCAGTATTTCTTCTGAATTCTGATTGTCAACGGAGACCATTTTCATAGTATCAATATCTGGTGGTCATACCATGTGTGGGTTCCTGTATAAAAAGGGTGAACAGAAATGTACTCCAGGAGTTATCATCAAAATGAAAATGTGCTAAAGCTAAAATAAAATGTATGGTTTCTTTTAGGTGAATATTTCTGAAAGACCAGTACTATTTAAGCATTCAAGTAGTAAGGGGAAACATGGAGATTGCTACTGATGACCCCTGGCTTCAATCTTCTGAATGTCCTAAAACAATATGCAAACCAATCACTAAAGTCACGTCATTTTTAACTTGTTAAACTTTAAAAAGTAGTTTTCAATATTCTGTAATTTGAAGATTTCATCAAAAATATTATGATCCTACCATGGAAGCCTTTCACTGTAAATTAAAACGCTGTCCTCTATTTTTAAATATTATTCTTCTTTTGAAGCGGATTTTACTATGAAAAAAGGCTCATACTCGTTGGAATAAGTATGCGACAAAGGTGAAAAAGTCTTAGTCGTAATATGTAGTGCTATATATTATAACTAGGATTATACAGTAGATATCAGGGGATATCCACTACAGCAGTTTGGGTTATATTAATTACAAGCACTGGTTGCTCAGTGAAAACTGTGACTCTGAGTATCAGTAGTAACCAAACTAAAGCTGCAAGCATGAAAGGGAAAAAATCACTCAACATATGTGTATAAAAATATGCTGCTCTGATTCAAATACCAAAAAATATTAACACAAAATGCTAATTAACATAAATCAGAATTGAGCTAACTAAAGATGTGTGTACTTATAATCCAATATCACCACATAACAGTCCTTCATATAAAATGCCCATGAATAAAACTATGATACAATCAATTAATCATGATCAAGTCCAATTCGGTGAGATCAAATTGTGTAATAGCAGACACCTCCATGAAACCCTTCCTGGGCACACACTCACCTTATGGGGTGACCCTCATTACTAAGGTCTTATTGTGCCTTTAATCAAAGAAATTAGACTCCATAAACCCAGCCGGACTCTCCCAGGGCTCAAGCAATCCTCCTTTAGAACTTTCACTCAGTAAATCGAGCAATCCTTTCACCTCAGGTGATAAAGCATGGATCAGTGCTGAAAAGGAAACAAAAAACTGACATAGTATTTTTATTTGAAAAAGAAAGAAAAAAAATGCACTCACATAACAACCAAATAAAATCGCCAGTATCACTTTAAAACTTTTCCAATGCCGCTCGGGTGGATGGCTCTAATGTTGGCAATATACAGATACCTCCAGCTACATGGAAACCTCTTTCTTGCTACCAAGCCATGCACTATGCATTTCATCATTCTGCTATCATCAGGGGCACCAGGAAGAAATCACTCTTTCCAGCTTTAGCAACATGTTATATGCTAGCATGTTACACCCTTTTTTAGCATGTACCATGTTGTTAAACATCCCCCTCACTCCCAGAGCAGTCCTCCCTGTGACTGCATGCAGGGGTCCACCCCCACCGCCCAAAGTAGCTGTCACTTTTAAAAAATTGGTGCTGATGTTTAATTTTTTATTATAATTTTTTTAAAGTGAACTTAGATTTTAATGCTAATTTAATGGTTGTATATGTTATTTTCTCATATAACATTGATCTTTATTTAATCTAAAGGAGATTGTACAATCAAGTGTGACAACATATAATGTACCACACAAACCCCTAGATATTTAATTCTTTGTTAGGACAGACAGTCCTGCATGTCTAATTTACAACTGATAAAAGGCTCTTTCAGCACAATACAGACAGGGTTAATTAGAGTACACATAACTCCACAGCCCTCCCCTTAACATTACACAATAGCGAAGTAAGGTTTGCTATGTAAATGGAAAAATGTAATGAATGTATTGTAGAGCAGGTGTTATTCCAATTTGGATGTGAAAGTATAAATATGCTTTAACTTGAAGTTGAATCAAATAAATTCCACAAACACACACACACACGTCAATATTAATGCAAGTTTTGGCTTTTTCCAGCAGTGTAATAAAAAAAGCAACCTTGAAAAGCACAATACAGTACAATGTATGTTGTAGCACGGATCTTTATTCCCCAGACTGCATAAAATGATTTGCAAGTGACAGTAAAGGCGCAGTACAGACAGTTGGACACCAGGTGGCTACATGACTGCACTAAAAATAACTCCACAATGCTTTTCATCAGGCTCAATGAACATCAGGTTGACTTAAATAGAGCAGTCCTGGGAAGACTGACCACAAAAACAACATGTCCTTGCAGATATTTGTAAATAGTCAGATAAGCAACGTGAGCATTGGAAGAACAGATCTAAGTCTTTCCAAAGTCACAAACTTAAACTGGTTCTTCAGCATTTTTGAAAGAAAGAGTCAGCAGCTACAATGCTGCCTTTTAATAGAAGGACACTTACCTGTCCAGAGCCATGTTCACTCGAACTGCTTCTTTGCCGGTCTTCGGGTCCTCAGCTCCGGCCTGTTCTTTGCACCTTCACAGCTGATTAGCCACTGCGCATGTGCAAGCTGCGCTTTGTCAATAGTCCCGCAGCTTTCTGAGACCTGTAACATTACCCTAAAGAACTTCCCTTGGATTGCCACAGCGATCTAGCCTGACGTAGGAGCAGGTACCTGGTAATCCAGGTACATACTCCCCTCCCCCCCCCCCCAAAAAAAAAAAAAAAAAAAAAAAAAAAAAAGGAGTGGGGAAGGACATAAAGGGGAACTTCTCCTTTAGACCCCATTCCTGTGGCATAATGGGATCTCAGGCAGAATTGCTGTGATCTCAAGTCGCAGGAATTTCTTTTGAGTGATGGTTTGCCACAATTGCAGCAAGTTTTATCACATGACGATCGTGGTAGAACCGCACCACGTTTAGGTGCCATTGAAAATGAATGGCACGTGAACACATGTGGTGCCTTTTGCTACTATTGCAGTGCGTTTTGAGAGAACGCAGGCAGATTTACAGCGATTCTGCCTGAGATCCCAGAAACGCCAGCTGTGAACAGGGCCTTCAGGTGAAGTTCCTCTTTAAATTTGTCCAATGCCAGGAAACATTTAGGCCATTCTGCTTACAAATAAATTGAACAGGCAATACAGTGGTATTAAACTCTTTTTGTTCTTTTTAATGAAATGAGCTCCCGAGTGGTTTATGTTATAATGTGCACTGCATATTAGCACATTATGACAGATTTGCCTGTCAAAACCAAGCCCTCCAGTACTGAACTGTCTCCGTTCCCACTGGTCACAAGCACTTCTTTCTTCACCCAGTCTTTTCTTCCAGGTTCTGTCTGTCCAGGCACTTGAATGGCTAGGACGTGATGACATCACTCCCACACATTCACATGGGTCTCACATCATTACGGCACAGTGCGTGTGCCATAAAAGTACGCTGAGCCTGCCTGTCAGCAATTGTTTAAAAAACGGAGTTAAATACTGCTCTAAACGCAGAAATAATCATTTTGGGATGTCACAAGTTCTGGCTCCCACCAGCTTTCTTTGGGTGATGTTGGTCAGGATTTCCTGTAATGATTCACTTCTGAATAGTCCTGTATAAATGATTAGACATTTTACTTTTCATGTACATCCACTGTACAGTACCTATTGGGTTAGTTCCATACAGGTAATGACGCATGAAAGGGTTACAATGCAGAAAAATAATTCAGCCTACCTGACTGACATCCCACTGATCTGAGGAACTGTCAATATTCTCTTCCTGTAATATGTGAAATCATTCTGCAATAATTACAGAATCTTCCTTCAAAAAAACATGCTCACTTCACTGTACAATAATGTCAAAACTTTGCACAAAATAACTTTAGGGATCTATAACAAAACAAAATAAAAACTACAGTTAAATGGGTATTAAAAGGCATAAACGCCCCAGTGTACATTTGAGCACATCCTTCATTTCGCTTTATAGCCCCCCAAACTCCTGTAACCCACCCGTATGTAATAAAGTGCATCCTTCCTAATTTCTTTTTTCAAGAATATTACATGTTATAATCAATGATGTATTTAGACTTTGTGCTGCCCTAGGCAACACAAAAAGTTTGCGCCCCCCCCCCCCCCCCCCCCCCCGATGAGAGAGCGAGAGAGTCAATAAGTGTGTATGTATATGTATATATATATATATAATATAAATATATATATATATATATACATACATACATACATACATGCATACATACACACACAGTCAGGTCCATAAATATTGGGACATCGACACAATTCTAACATTTTTAGCTCTATACACCACAATGGATTTGAAATGAAATGAACAAGATGTGCTTTAACTGCAGACTGTCAGCTTTAATTTGAGGGTATTTACATCCAAATCAGGTGAACGGTGTAGGAATTACAACAGTTTGTATATAAGCCTCCCACTTGTTAAGGGACCAAAAGTAATGGGACAGAATAATAATCATAAATCAAACTTTCACTTTTTAATACTTGGTTGCAAATCCTTTGCAGTCAATTACAGCCTGAAGTCTGAAACGCATAGACATCACCAGACGCTGGGTTTCATCCCTGGTGATGCTCTGCCAGGCCTCTACTGCAACTGTCTTCAGTTCCTGCTTGTTCTTGGGGCATTTTCCCTTCAGTTTTGTCTTCAGCAAGTGAAATGCATGCTCAATCGGATTCAGGTCAGGTGATTGACTTGGCCATTGCATAACATTCCACTTCTTTCCCTTAAACAACTCTTTGGTTGCTTTTGCAGTATGCTTTGGGTCATTGTCCATCTGCACTGTGAAGCGGCGTCCAATGAGTTCTGAAGCATTTGGCTGAATATGAGCAGATAATATTCCCGAAACACTTCAGAATTCATCCTGCTGCATTTTTGTCAGCAGTCACATCATCAATAAATACAAGAGAACCAGTTCCATTGGCAGCCATACATGCCCACGCCATGACACTACCACCACCATGCTTCACTGATGAGGTGGTATGCTTAGGATCATGAGCAGTTCCTTTCCTTCTCCATACTCTTCTCTTCCCATCACTCTGGTACAAGTTGATCTTGG